CCAATGAAAGAATAGACCATTCCAAACTTTTACTTGTTGTTAAAACAAATGTTTAAACAACTCTACTTATTCAAAGTTGGTATCTATTGTTTGTGACAACTGTAGAACCTAAGAGGGTTTTTAAGAGAAACAGTTGTTTTATTTGGGTGAAATTGTGCAGTCACCATTATAAAAGTACATAGCTATGTACTTTATATAAATGTAAAAGCCACTACCAACTTAACTTAGATATACTCGAGAAACAATAACTTGCGAGTTATTTTATTGCTAATCTCAAAACTCTAACTGAATTGGAGATTTATAATGAATGCCTCTAACATGTTTCATTTCTACATTTAATTACAGGGTGTCTGAGAAGACTGGAACCATAGGTGATTTGTAGCTTTTCTTAATTTCAAATATGCAAATTATTATGGTGCTGTTATAATAAAGAGGGTCCAGTTAATTATGCTGACAATCCAAGCACAAAGTTATAAGGACAACATGTGGAACACATTCTGTAAAATTCGTTGAAATGCCTATGGTTCCAGAATTTTCAGACACCCTGCATTTGATACTTGGGTTGCAAATGTAAATTTGAAAAAAAAACGTGTGTAGAAATAATTTCTATAAAACATTTAGATTTGAAACTCATTCATGTAAAAAGAAAATCTGATCATAGAGGAAAGCATGTTATGATTTTTGCAGGGTTTCTTTTTTTTTTAATTCTCTAAGTGAGGAGTAAGGGAATTGATTGCAGTCCATATATAATAAATAGACCAACATATCTTAATACATACTCCTGGCAAGTAAGTTAGGTTTACTATAATACAAGATAGTGTAAGTTACCATAGAATATGTTCAGTTAACTGGAAAGCCATTCTATATTTCAAGAAACATTTTCTATGATCATATTATTCCATATACTCCTACAAAACATCCAAGTAGTTGTGTTAAAGTTTCAACATTATTTTCTAAAAAATTAATTGCAGAAACTTTTACCTCTTTTGTTTTAAATAATTACAGTGATGAAGAAAAATATACACAGTGATCAACTATGTAAAACAAACAAGATTCAAGGTGTTGTGTTTCTATGCATTTGACAATTTTTTTTATTTTGAAGTAGTTTATAAATAATGCACAAACCAAATCCTTTTGGCATTTAGGTAAAATTGTAAGTATAAACCAAAAATAAATTTAACAACAGAAAATATAACTCTGACCTAATAAACTACAAAAATAAATCTCACTAACATGACTATATATATATAGAAATACAACAAACAAACAAGTATTAACTGGTAATCAGTACACATATACTACTCTTCAAATCGTAATAACAAGATAAAATGTTATTAAAAGTAAAAATATATAATTATCAAGATTATACAAGTTAATACTCTATCATATAAATTCAAACAATTTGATTGTGAAGACATTTTGAAAACTTGTGCTCTACTAAGTCACTTTTCTAAATCTGACTTGAAAGTCCTAATGCTACATCTTTCCCTTTTTGGTGGAAGAATCCTACAGAAAGAACAGCTTGGCTACAATTCAAAGATACTGCAAAGGTTCTTCAACTTCCTGATGAGAATACTCTTGCTTATGCTTCCTACAAATTATAGTAAATATTTTTATTGTGAAGCTTTGAATTTAACAAAATAAAACTGCGTGTAATACTTTTTACAAATTCTTTGCAGTTATGTGTTATCTGCATGGGGAAGTGAACAAACTTCTGAGCTAAGTATTGTATTTTTTTAATTGAATAACAATACTGTCATAAACCATAAAAATATGTAATTATCTAATAGAGATGAGCACAAAGCTGAGAAAAGTATTAATGATTTGAGGTATTATGAGAAATGTTTTAAAAACTCTCAGTTTCATACATTCTTTTGGAATTATTAAATGTTGAAGAATAAGGGATAGAAAAGTTTTAACTCTTCAAATTACTTCAGTAAACTTGTATCCATTGTTTTGAAAAATATTATGATAGTTGCAAGGAGACTATTCCAGTTTGTACCATTTTGCTAACAAATAAAAAATTAATTAAATGCGCAAACACATACACAAACATGCATGTATATACAAAAAAACAACAATATAATGCAAATTACTGAAATGATCTGACGAAGTAGATCCTATCAGACAAAAAGGTGAAATGTAAAAAATGAAGGACAAAAATGTACAAAAGTGTTCTATTTAAATTAGTAACCCTGTAATATCCATGCATTTGGATCTATAACTTTTTCCATTTTTCTTAAGACAATATAATTGAATCCTAATGATTTAATTTACCACAGAAAGAAAACACTTCTCAACCAAAAAGAGCTTAGTTTTTGTTCAATTTTTTCCTATATATTTTATAAGGTTGTACAGGTCCACTGGTTAGGCCACATTTGGAGTAGTGTTCAGTCTTGGGCTCCTTACCTCAAGAAGGGCATTGAATTGTTAAACAGGGTTCACAGGAGGGCTACTAGAATGGTGCCTAGGATAGAAAGGAGAAAGGTTATCATACGAGTAGAGGGTAAGATTGTTTTCTCTTGAAAAAAGAAGAGTTAGCGAGGATCTGATTGAGCTGTTTAAGATTTTTAAAGGAATTAACAGTGTTGATGCATTATCTTTTTTTATATTTAATGGTGAGAATGGTAGGACTAGGAGGTACAAGTATAAATTTTGGCAGGGTAGGAGTCATCTTGAGCTAAGACAGTTTTATTTTTCTGACAGGGTAGATGGCCTTTGGAACAGGTTACCTTCAGATGTCATGGAGGCAGTAAATTTAAGTGAGTTTAAGAGAAAGCTTGATAAAAACCAGTGATAAGGCCTGGTTTTAAGTTTTTGTTTTTTTAATAGTTTTAATTTAGTTTAGTGGATGGGACAGCCTAGATGGACCAATAGTTCCCATGTTGTTCCTGAATATTATGTTACATTATAAACCAGTACTTTAGATGTTGAGCGAAAACTGCCAATTCCCTTTTTTTGAAATATTTCCAAAAATAAATTATACTAACACAAAAGGGTAATCTGATGGGTCTGTCTGAGGTGCATTTTTTCAAATTGTATAGTCTCTGAAACTGTATAAAATTCATTCTGTGTGCATACAAATTATGAAGATTTTTCATCATTTGTATTGAGTAATGTTATCTCTAATAATAACCTCAACATGAATATAGTTTCTTTCAAGTGTATGTTAACTACTTTCTCTGAACCTACCTTTCTTTTCTAAGTGCACCAAACACATTTGTTAATATAGGAATAAATTCAATACACATATTTCTGGTACATATTCCGATGATTTCTTTGATCTCAATACACCAGTGTGAGAGAAAATGAAAAATGTAATACCAGGAGGTAGTTTTCCCATTTGTTATGCTAAACATGATATAATCCACTGTCTGCATACCTGTGAAGTACTATAGGTTGGCCACAGTGACTATATGCTTTTTTTTAAGTAGTCAGAAAGCCTATGGCTGTATTACTGCTTACTACAGATTCAATATCATGCCCAAGTTTTTGTTGTTGTTTTTTTGTGTGTGTGTGTGTGTGTGTGTGTGTGTGTATAGTTATTTTGTTGTTGTAATTTATGGTCCTTTTCATTAATGCATCACTGTATCATTGCTCATGAGCAACTGTATCAACATCACAACTTTCTTCTTCTAAAATAGTGACTCCCTGAAAGATAGGTTAGTTTGTTTGTTTATAGTTAAGCACAAAGCTGAACAATGGGCTTTCTGTGCTGTGCCTACCACGGGTGTCAAAACTTAGTAAGCCTACTGACTTACCACTGAGGGTCTGAAGAAAACTATACACACAATTTATTTCACTAGCCAATTATTAATATAGTCAAATAAGCAGTATGTCTTGTAATTCCACAGACATACTGCTATGCCACTGAAGGGGGGGGGGGAGCCTCGCTGAAAAAAGGCAAACTTCCTGGGAAAGATAAAAGTTCAGAAAATGAATTTTGTATGGTGAGTGCCAAGTCCAGTCTAGGAGAAAGCTATGCTAAATACACAATATGTAATTATGACAGCTCTGTATGTCATCAATTAGACATCAAAGAATGTTGCACAGTTCTATGAGTAATTTGTGAAAATGATTGGTTTTTATACTAATAACTGCAGGTATGCAACAAAATGGATTGATGGGTATGGTGTGTAATAGCCACACTATACATAAAAGTACAAGTTCATGTTTTATCTGTTTAATTAAATAAAGAAATATTGCACATTATATTGACAAACTGTGTGTAAAAAACAATGCCCCAATTCAAAGGTTTAGACTGTAATTCTTATGTAAAATCTTTAAAAGTGTTTGTCTTTCTCAGATGAAAAATATGAAACAGCCATGACTACAAGTTTAGAACATTAATATCACATAAACTTGTATGATTCATAAATTTACTTCTCTGCATTCTTCACATTAAAAGTTACCATGCTTCTTTGTTTATGATACTCTATGCTGTATTACTAGAATAGAGGTAGTTTATAAATATTAACCAATACCTAAACCTTAAAAAATTGTGTGGCTGTGATGCATATTACTCCTCACAGCATCAATGTTCATTCAGAAATTATGGTGCAGGAAAACTCATACTATTTAATTCCAAAGTTAAGATCAACACAGAAAGTAAGACATGAATGCAGATTGTTGCAACATGTTGTATTAAAGATTTCACAATTTAGTTTATTATTGTATATCATAATGGTTAACAAAACCTTGAAGTTATTTGTGTTTTTCTTTTAATTGCACATACTATCTGATTATTTAAATTTTGCCGTATGTACAAAATTATGTAAAATATTGTTAAAAATAGAGGTATAGATAAATTAGCTGAGGAAATCCAAAACTTATTTTCAATCACTAGTTAATCTTCACCCAACACCTGATGTAAGCCTATTATAATAATCAAATATCACTCAAACCGCAAAGTTTTACCTTTTTTGGAATGGCAGTTGTCACTTGCCACCAATTATACCCATGTCCATACCATTCAAGCATTCTAACTGTTCCATTATTCAATGCAGCCATACCAATAATTAGCAATATTTAAAAAAACAAAAACAACACTTCCAGTAATAAGTATATCCTTGTTTGACATTTTTGTCACATGTCCAATGGGACAGTGCTTTTTTTATTTAGTGTTTGCTCAACTACTATTAATCTCGGTTCACATTACATGTACACAGAGCACATGTAATGCCACTTCACTCAATATTTGTATATTTCTTCCTGTTTTGAAATAGCTAAAACTTCATATTACTGCAGATGGTTCAATGTCCATAAATGTACCATCGACATTACTTAAAAGAGTAAAATGTTAGTTATTCTCTTCCTTAGAAAAATTGGTGTAGGCTGGGAAAATTATAGAATTAATTCCTATGAAAGAAATGAACAGCTAATTTGAAATGAAATGCTACTTTTTTCCACATTTCACACCATTAGTATGTTTACAAATAAATATGCTGTTAAAGATGAAATTTACACTTATCACTAATTCTATTTATGTAATAAAAATCTTTTTCTGTCTACTGAGATAACTAATAGTTACTTGTGTGTCAAACAAGGGCAATCCCAAACCCTTTGGTCTTTTCCAAACTGCTCGCCCTCTTCCAGTGTGTGTGGCAAATTCTGATTCAAAGTTTCTGGCAGGAACAATGTCAGCAGTGCAACAACAACCATCATCATACCTGATACAAGTAGAGGAAGGGATGGGTTTTCCAAGGCCTGTAACAGTAATAATATTTTTGTTTATATATAATATGTATGTATATACAGCAGGTTGAGTATGTTAGTGAGTTAGGCAAATAAACAGCAGATGGGTTTTAATTCTAATAAATGCAAGCCAATGCACGTGGGTTACCATAACTTAAATTATACGTATAATTTAGACGGAAATAACCTTAACAGTGTCATGAAAGAAAGGGATCTTGGTGTGATGGTTGATCAGTCTATTAAGCCATCCTAGAAGTGTGCTGTTGTTAGTGGTAGGGCAAATATGATTTTAGGTTGTATCTACAGAAATACTGAATACATGTCTAAAGAGGTTATAATTTCATTGTATAGGTTACTAGTTAGGCCACATTTGGAGTATTGTGCTCAATCTTGGGCTACTTACCTTAAAAGGGACATTGAATTGTGGGAAAGAATTCAGAGGAGGGGTTACTAGAATGTTGCCTGGAACTTTATCATATGAGGAAAGATTAAGATTTCTGAAATTGTTTTCTCTTAAAAAAAGAAGTATTACAGGGGACCCAATTGAGGTATTTAAGATTGCAGAGGGAACTGATAGTGTTGATGCATCATCTCTTTTCATACTTAACAGCAAAAATAATAGGACTAGGGGACATGAGTATAAATTTTGGCAAGGAGAAGTCATCTTCAGCTGAGACAGTTTCATTTTTCTAACAGGGTGGTTGGCCTTTGGAATGGGTTGCCTTCAGATGTTGTAGAGACAGTAAATTTAACTGAGTTTAAGAGAAAGCTTGATAACTATATGAATGATAAGGGCTGGCTTTAAAATTTTTTATTTTATCTATTTTTTAAACTTATTTATTTGATAGTTTTAGTTTAGTTTAGTGGATGGGACATCCAAGATGGATCAACAGTTCCCTTGTTATCCCTAAACATTATGTTATATGTTATGTTATTATCTGTTATTATTTCTGTTGGCATTACTGCGTGATGGTATGCATGCATTCTGCTTGTACACTACTCACAAATTTAAGGGTTTGGCCTATTGATGCCTGTTGTTCATGTTTACAAGCACGATCAGTGTTACTTAAGGTAAGATTGTTTTAATAAAAAAAAAGTTGCAGCAAGTTGATATTCATTATTCACTCAAAAAGTGTTAACTGATAAATACTTGCTCATTCAACCATGTTTGTCAGAGATTACTAGACATGGACTGATAACAGTCTAACAATAAGTCATTAATCAAAATAGGACTCCTTTTTAATTATGACTAGCTCTAGATAAATAGGAAGCAATGAAAACAGAAAAAAAAATTTGGCTTAAACATTTACTAGTACAGTACATTTTAAATTGTTTTATTTCTCAATGTGCGTACGTGTTTTTATAGTTTCTTCCAGCTGCTACTGTAAAATGTAAACTTAGTAATCATTTTAATGTGTTCATTCTAAACTTCTGTGTATCAAAAATTCTCACTTAAAAAGTTTATAATTCACACTGATGATGGAATTGGAAAGATATTCCAGAACATCTGTAATTAAAGATGTTTTCATATTATTGTGATTTTACTAGTTCTTATAATACTCTTACTTCCACTTTATTAATAATTTTAGTCTCTACAAAAGGAGTCATTTACTACCATAACAAGTTTTCTCAACAAATAGCAAGTGTTGCTATATTTATTTTTCTAGAATCAGTGCAAACTTGTTTCACTGAATTATGTATCACAAACTGTGATAATAATCTTTACAATTATTACCACATGAAATCTAAAGACAATTATTTTTAGTGAAGAATTAGTTTATTTAGTATTAGCACAGTAGTCTTTTGAAATATTGTAAATACAAATCCACAGAATGGTTTTAGTCATATCTTCAGCTTGTTATAGGTTTTAACTACATTGCCCATACAACATTTGTATTCAAAAATGTCTTATTATATTATATGAATGGTAATTTAAAGGGGTTTAAAAAAAAAACACAAGCTGTAAATAGAAAGATTAGTCTCATGTGAGAAAAACTGATTAATGAGCATGATGATCAATCAAATAGCAAATTGCATTAATCACCCAAATCTATACCCTAATACCAGAAAACAAGATATTTAGTAATTTTTGGTGCTAATGAAATATCTTAAGATAAGCTCCAAATTTACCTGGTGTCATTTATCTTTTGACTGATAATTTTTTTATCAAGTAGCTGAATTAAGGAATAATTTAATATAAAAAGTATAACACAACATTTTCATTCTGATGAGTCTGATAATATTTCCTTATTTCAGCAAAGCATTGGAGACTATCATTAACAGTCATAAATACTTTTTTTATTGACTTGTGGTAAATTTAATAAATGCAAATAAGTAAACATACAAACCAGATAAACAATTGTTGGGCTCAGATAAAGACCAAAAGTCCCCATAGCTCTAAGAAATGCAAGGCCACGACCACGTAAGGCTGTAGGGTAGATTTCTGCTGCATATTGTATAATGATAATGTATTCTGTGGTCAAAGTTACACGCATAATAAGTGCTAAGCCAAGAAACACTTGAGAAGAACCTTTAGAAAGATAAAAAAAATTCATTAAACACATACAGTAATGTTTTATTTTCATGACTAGGAATATTGATGTGATGGCAAATGTTTTATCTTCCTTTCTATGTACAGCACAGACATTTATATTATATAGAGAAAAATAGTACAATAATCAGTTTTTTCTGCTTTGTTTTAGCTATATCAGTCAAATTACATAGCTGATTTATTACTTTCTGTAAATACAAGTCTTTATGAGAGTGAATTTTAAGAAATTTTAACAATTTTTCAAAATCAGCAGTCACAATATGCATATAATTTCTATTATATATTAATGTTGTAATTATTATTCAATAAACTTTAATAACTATATCTTAGACACAACATAATAACAAGAGCTTTACGGTAAAGACAAATATTTAAACAGCGTATTTTAAAACCAATAATTTTATAATTGCAAGTAAGATGCTATGAGAAACTTTACAGAAAAGCTTTAAAGCTATAGTTATTTAACAAAAAGTGACAAAATTATTTTGCTGTTCCAAATTTAAAATATGTCAGTTTACCAATGATAAAACACAAATGAAGTATAAAATCATTCTTAAAACAATTTGCAGGGGCTTAATATTTCTTATTCAGTTTCTTGAAATACTTTGAAAGTAAAACTAATCTTTAATTTAATTTACTTTATTCAAAGTTTCTTAATTAGTGAACTATCTTCCACTTTCCACTTAATAAAATAGGGCAGCCTGATCTAAAGTCAGTAAATATGTAAGTAAAGATTCAAATATTGTAATACTTGCATTTAAAAACATAGTAATGCAGTACCTTCAGGGACACACATAATAAGCAGCCCACATGCTCCAGCTACAGATGTTGCTACCACCATAGGCCATCGTCGACCTAACCAGTCAATGCCAAAAAACATTAACAACGTGGCAGGAATTTCTACTAAAGCACCATAAGTGAATGATTGATAAATATCTGTACCTAAATTGGACGTGTTCTGAGTATTTGTATGGTAGCAACAATAGGTGATAAACCTAAAGGGAGTAAAAAAAAATATATATGTTAATCATGTAGGTTGTGAAAAATAGTTTGATCTCTAAAAGTTTGTTGTATGATTTGCCAATGAGATAACAAATGTATCTTCTAGCTATCACTGAAGTAGCAACAACGGCCCTTTTCAATTCTACATCTAAAACCCAGATTTTACCGATTTCCAAAGAAAACGGAAATTGGGTGGCTTCATGAAATATTTTAAAAGAACTATTTCTATAACATTTATTTTTATTAAGTGCTATATACTGTAAAATCAATAATACATTAATGGATACTCTTTTGAAGCCTACATGCACTGTCAAAACTTTTCAGGGTGTGTGTGTGTGTGTGTGTGTGTGTGTGTGTGTGTGTGTGTGTGTGTGTGTGTGTAGTTATATATACT